CCTAAAAAAGGCGCGACGCTCTTTAAAAGTGACCCAAGGAAGAAATCTTGCAGAAAGAAAAAAAAGGGACCTTCTCTTTTTCTCGTTTAGGGAGTGTCGAAATCAAATGAGAAAAATGCGCGGGTGGAAGTGGGAGTGACCAACGACAGATGGACACTATTCAGCATTTTGGAAATGGCGAGACCGACATCATTCGTTCTCCGTTTTCTTCGTCTTCTCCTTGGGTCATTTAATTACCCAATCTTTTTTCTGCGGTCCCGTATATTTTGGTGCTGCCCTTCGTAACAACCAGGAAAAGAGCCCCGCGCTGACCCATTTAGGAAGGAAAAACCCGAAAAACGTACACATTTTACGGCTTTGTCTAATTCATTGAGAATGGAAATCGGTGGAAAAAAGAAAAGGAGCTTGGAAGAAAATATATACGGAACTCACCATTGTTTATTACGTTTTGAGAATCTTTGAGAAGGCTTTGATGGGTAGATCACGGGATGTCGTTGAGAGGAAGTAGAAGATGTTATGATTCTGAAAGAAAGGTAATCTCATAAAAAGCATCGATATCATTGGAATTTCTGAAAAAGTTGAAGAAGAAGAAAAGGGGAAAGTCTATGTTTGGATTATAATCAGGGTAAATGGATGGGTGGAATGAGAGGAGATGATGACCCTCTCATCCTATTAAATAATTCTTTATACTTTTGAGGACCGAAGAACAAAGTTATTAAGATAATTATGAAAACGACGTTGGCAAAACACACATGTCTAGAGGGAAGAGAACTAAAGTCTACTAGGGATGGGTGAAGATTTCGAATCAATGAATCCTGAAAGTCAGATCCTTACCAATTTTTCGTTTTTAGCACAATGTGGAGTTTTGAATTTTTGAGATTATACTGAACTTAACAACTTCGAAGTCATAAAGTTTGATGTATTCTACAGTAGAATCCAACAACTCGAGATCGAACAAACTGGGTTAAATTCTCTCGAATTTAGAATTTTGAATTGATCCTAATTATAACGTTCGATACACATGAATATGAAAATTAGAGGAATCCTGTCATATGAGAGATGCTCGGAAAAGCTTTTTCGAAGTTTTGGAAAATTAAAATTTTCAAAATTTCGGAACTTTGGAATTTCGGAATATTCCGATTCTGAAATTCCGGAATTTCAGAATTTCGGAACTTTGGAATATTCAAATTTTACAAAATTTCGGAATTTGGGAGTATTCCGATTTTGACAATTTCAATGTTTTGGAATATTCCGATTTTAAAAATTTCGATAATTCGGAATTTTGGAATATTCCAGTTTTAATAATTTTGGAATTTCGAAAATTTTGAATATTCTCGTTTTTAAATTCTCGGAGTTTGGGAATATTTCGATTTTGACCATTCCAAATTTTGGAATATTCCGATTTGGAAAATTTTGGAATTTCGGAAAATACCGAGTTTCAAAATTTCGAAATTTAAGAGTATTCCCATTTTTAAAATTTCGGAGCTTCTCAAAATTGTAATTTCTAAGTAGAAATCTCACTTTCGAGAAAATAAGTGAAAAAAAACGAGAAAATCAGTGAAAAATATTCCAAAAACGCAAAAAAATAAGAGAAATTCCGATCGAGGCCCACACAGAAATTTTTTGCGAGCGCCATTAAAATACCGTAGTCCAAAAAGCTCTAATTCCAGAAAAAAAAGCTTTGGAAATATTCTGGTCGGCATTTCATTCTGAAAATGGTTATTTTTGGAATCTTCAGAGTTTCGAACTTCGTTCTGAACACCCCTTATATCCTAACAACCCTTACTGTACAAGTTCTAAAATCCTACCTGTATCCTTTTTAAATTAAGTATTCTGAATCCTGAAATCTATAACTAACTCTACTTGGAATATTTTCAGACTTCGTGCATTTTCAGCACTTCCAACTATCCAAACTCCACACTCTCTGGTCAGAACAATTTTCAAAAACCCGGATTGCTCAATTAGTTCTCTAGAACTCATTTTCCAAACTAGGTGTAAATAAATTTGAAAAAAAATTAGAATCGGAAAACGTCATTTTCTCTCTCTCTCTCTCTCTCTCCCTCCCTCCAATTAAAATGGACACAGTTATTAATAAACAGTGCAAGCTTCCGGTCTTTTTGAAAAGAGGAGCAGTGGAACAAATGAGGGATTCCCGCTGAAAAGAGAATGGAAGAAGAAGAACTGAAATGTGAGATGATGTGGACTTTTTTGTGCAAATTGATGAGGAGGGATCAAAAAGATTGGACGGCAACAAAAAAGGACGAGAAGGATTCTGAAGAGTTCACAAAAAACAAAAAAAAATGGGTGACGAAGAAGTAGAAGGAACCGAATTTGACACAGAAGGGGTAACATCTTTTTCCTTCTTCTTCCAAACGAAATCTAATAATTTATGGAGAAGAGTTTCTCTAGAGAAGGGGATAAGGATAAGTGTGGAAAATGGGAAAAGGACAAGAAAAACATCCTTTTTTAGATTGAAGTGTCGGAAAGTTTTGGAAAGGTTGCAGAGGGGAAAATGTTTATTTGGATTACGAGAAATTATAAATAATCAGGTTAATATGATAACTTGATAAGAATTCAAGAGGGTTCCGAAAATGGGTTCACTAACAAAAGCGAAGTTTTCATTTGTTTTAAAGGCGACCGAAATTTATTTTTGTTTAAAAGTAATCCCGAAGTTATGTATTTTCATAAAATTATTGAAAAAATTCAGAAAAAAAAATCTAAAGCCCTGAAAAACGCCGTCGGAAATGCACGCCGCTGGGTGGGACCATAGATGGATTAAATTTTTGGAATGTTTTTGATAACATATAACTTTAAACCTAAATTTCATTTTCAAGAATTTTTCTGTGACATCAATACCGTTAAACCTGTATTAAAGGGCATCTTTAATAGAAGATCCCTTCAAGTCGGATTTGAAAAAAATTGAAGGTCCCCGTAATAGCTCAATTTTGGGGAAATTCATAGGCTTGCATGAGTTTTGAACAAAAATTCAGCGGGTTTTTCCATGACAATTTTAGAAAGAAATGTGAGGAAAAATAGAAAAACCACCTCTAATTGAAGGGCCTTTGTAATAGAAGAGCCTTTCGGAGGAACCTTGGGACAGTAGAAGGGTTCTTCTGATACATGTTTTACGACAACTATCAAAACTTTTCGTGAAATATTTGAAACTCAATAAAAACCCCCTTTTTTAAAAATCAACCAAAAAAGCTAAACCGAACTGAAGCCTAATTATAGATCTCAGAAGTAATTTGAAAGGGTTTAGTTCCTTGTCTGGAACCCTTGAAACCAGAATACGAAATTTGAAAACTTCCAGAATGTTCGATAAGCTCAAAAAAGTTTTAACAAGGTCTAAAAAAACTCAAAATTAACGTCTTCTGAGAATCAGAAGGCACGTGCAAATGAAGAAGGATTCCTAGGATTTCATTTCCAGACTGGAATGGAGGAGAGAACCCATGAAGACATAAAGAGAGATGCGCTCAGGCTTAGCACATGACCCAAATTAACGGCTTCTCTGCAAATGACGTCTTTGATTGAATTCATTTTGAGGGCAAATAGAAGCAGAAATTGCCACGTCACGAGCCAAAAAATTCTGTGCAAAGGACGCAAGATCTCATTGAGAATTCATTGAAAAATGGAACAGGTTATGGTAATTTTCATGGTGTGAGTCCAGTTGTTCAAATAACCAAAAAGTGAAATGAGGAGAAGGAAAAAGAAGCAAAAGGAGGAATTTCCATTTTTGCAGAGGTGCTGTTATGTAGGGTGGACCGAATAAAACGAAACCAGAGAAAAAGAGACAAGGGTAATTGAGACAAACAAGCGGGACCAAAGGGACAAACTTTTTTTGAAGAAGAGGATCAGAGCGCACTTGAAAATCTGGAGAATCGGAAAGGAGATCTTTTGAACTTTCAAAAATAAAACAGAATATTTTTTGCTTGTTCTTATCCTATCCAAGAAAAAAATGGTTAGGATTGTGTCAGTTCTGGCAAAGTGTACCTTTTATAAATACTCCACATTGTCAGTTTTATTTGATGTGATAATGGGGCTAAAGATTCTGAATGTGGAGATTGAGCATCATAAAAAAAAAAAAGTAGATTTGTAAGAATCTCAGAAGGAGAAAAAAAAAGAAAGAAACACTTTTGTATTGTTCGAATATGTAAATTTTATGTAGGAAAATCACTTTTCAGAAAAACAGAAAAAGTTTATTTGTTCTCATCTGAAAAAAAGAAAAAAATACAGAATACAAAAGTTTCAAACAAACCAAAAATTGTGAAAAAAAACAGTATTGATGAAAAAATAGGATTCCCACGGTGTTTGGATGATCAGAGGATCTGTTTGTTCATGACAGTTTGAGTGGGATGTGTTGGTTTTTTGTTGGGGGTTTTTCAATAAGACATCCAGAAAAGTATTTTTAAGTGAATTTTTGGCAATTTTGACCATTTTCAGAAGTCTGGAGCTCGGCTGTCAAATGTCCGATCACTTTGAAAACTTATAAGGGTATAAAACAAACCTAGATTCAAAACTTTAAATCCACAAAAATTTTTGAAAATTCCTAGTTTTTCAGCCATTTGCCAATTTCTGAAAAAGAGCTGTAATTTCACATTTTCAGTACAAAAACTGCCTGTCAGAAATCGACAAAAAGCTGAAAAACTAAGAATTTTCAAAAAAAAAATTATGTGAATGCAAATTTTGAATCTAGGTCTGTTTTACATCCTCCAAAATTTCAAAAGTGATTCACAGCCAAGCTCCAGATTTCTGAAAATGGTCAAAATTGCCAAAAATCCGAAAAATACGTTTTTATATCTTACGGGCCGGTACTGTATGTTTCGAATATTGCTAACAAAATTTCTGGAAAAAATACATAAAAAATTATTCTTCGAACTTTCCTGTGACGTATTTCTACTCTAGACTTAACGAAACCAAGTCACAACTGATATAGAAAAATGGCAACATCATTCATATGAAACTGAAATTTTGATAACCTAGTTTTTCAGTCGGTGAAAAAAATGCACATGCTACTTCTACTATTATTAGTTCCTTGTCTGACATTTATTTCAGCGGATGATTGTACGGATTGTGTGAATTCGGGGAGATTGTGAGTTTTGTGAATTCAATCGACAGAACGTAGAAAGGTTCAAATTTCAGATGGTGCTTACAGACTTCTCAATGTGGAGGCACAACTTTAGCATGCAACACTTCTATAACTGTGAGTTTTCAGAATTCAGGTTATCATTCCTTCAACTTTCAATTTTCAGGTTCCCTTAAATTGCCCAAGTTTGCCTCGATTTGCATATAACGATGAATTCATGAGAACTGAAATCATGGTTCTTACAACTGCAGCTCAAAATGAAAATCCTCAATTGTGCTTCGAGTGAGTTTCTGTGTAGTTAATGAGACTTCTGACCCAAATTTTAAATTGTGTTTTGATACCCTACATACCAAATGCATTATCACAGGTCACAAAAAATCATTTTAGCAACCAGATGCCTACTATGAAGCTGTACAAAGTGACGACTGTCAATTGCTCAACAAACTATACTGATGTGACATGTGTAGGATACACTGAGTATGACATCAAAAGAAAAGTGTATTCAAATTTCATTTAAAGGTGCACATGGACAGGATCAGATCAACCAGCTATTAAATGGAGCTATGGAGTAGTAAGTCCGAAGAGAAAATTTAATTCTGAAAGACTCAGTTTTCTTCAGTGGTCTTGAATCTTATTACACTGTTACCAACGGAAAGATTTTCAAAATTATCCAAGATTCATTCATGCTTCTTTGGAATGGAGGAATGCAGACAGACTTGCGTTACCTGAAATACAAATATCCAAACTTTAAACTTTGGGTGAATGGCCACTCTCTCGGGTCTGCTTTAGCATGGGCCGCGTCTGCGTGGGTTGTAAATATCGGATTGTATAAACCAGAAGATATGAAAGTGGTCGTCATGGGTGCTGCACGAATTTCAGATTATAACTTTGCAGTTTGGCATACACAGACGGTAAAAATTCTGAGTTTGCCAGAAGTAATTAATTTTCAGTTCCCTTACAATTTTCACATCCTCCATCGATCCGATCCTGTCGCCCACACTCCCACATTCCTTCCCTCTTCTGTTCCTTTCACAACGTTGTTTTATCCTAAAACGGAAGTTTGGTAAGTTTGAATGGTCTTCTGTAGACTGTCATTTGGTTTACAGGTACAACAACTACATGAACCAAGGGGACCCATACCAAGTGTGTCAAGAAGCGGATGGACCGTTCTGTAGCGGCAGTGTTGACCCAAAAGCGACCCAGTATATGGACCATTTGTACTATTTCAACATTGAGTTGCCTGGGGCAGCTACCCTCCAACCCCTTCTAAAGGTTCCCTCTAACCACGCAACGACACTCCGCTATACCGCTCGGCGCGCGCACAGTTAAAATTCAGTTTTGAGGGATTGCGAGCTTGGATTTGGCTCGTGGTTGTTCTTTTAAGGATTTTAAGTGAGTTTGCTTGAATTCTAAGCTTTTATTTGTTGTTTCTTTCTAACTTGTTCATAGTAAACCGATTTTGTTACATTTCTTGTTGATTTTCTTCTATTTTATCACAGGAACTGATACCCCGGACATACCGCGGGCAATTATTGACTTGCCAGGATGGGGACACGCGGGATGTCCCATGAATATCAGTGCTTATGCACAACCTTGAATTTAAAATTTTCAATAAAGCATATTTATATAGTTGATCATATTTAAGCTTGCGGCACCGTAGCTCAGCTGGTTGCAGCGCGGTACCTCCAGCTTTGAGTCCGCAAGTTCAACTCCTCGAGGGACCTTTTTGAATGGAATGTTTAAGTACAGCAGGTTTTTACTTTAACTTTAAAAATTGAAACTTAAGTGAACCAAGGATCCGCATAGTCATTTGATTTCTGGAACTTCCGAAAAAGATTTTCCTTATTTCGATGTGACACAATTCTACCCTAGACCCTAACATCAGTTCGAAACTGATAAGAAAAATGGCAACACTTTCCATATAAAAAGAAATAATGATAGCACAGCTTTTCAGACACTTTTTCTGTTCTAAAAAATGCATATTAACCTATTACTACTGGTTTCGTGTTTTTCATTTGTTTTCTCAGATAGCTGTTCAAATTGTGTGAATTCGGGAAAGCTGTGAGTTTTGAAAAAAATTCAGATTTTCAAGACAAAATTTTCAGATGGTGCTTGCAGAATTCTCAATGTGGAGACACCACTTTAGCCTGCAACACTTCTATAACAGTGAGTTGAAAATTCAAGATTTCATCTCTTCAATTTGCAGGTTCCCCTCAATTGTCCGAGTCCTCCACAATACGGATATGACGATGAATTCATGAGATCTGAAATCATGGTTCTCACAACTGCAGCTCAAAATGAAAATCCTCAATTGTGCTTTAAGTGAGTTTCTGTGTAGTTAAAATTACTAGATTCGTGTTTCCTAACCCACTTTTTTCTTATCGCTTTGTGAAACCAAATATGATGAAAATCTAGCACAAGTCAGAAAAACTTGTAACTAAACACTGTTTTAGCAATCAAATACCGACTATGAAGCTGTACAAAGTGACAACTGCAAATTGTTCAACAGTCTATAATGATGTTACATGTGTTGGATATACTGCTTATGACACCAAACGGAAAGTTATTTCAATTTCCTTCAAAGGGGCACACGGACAGGATCAGATCAAGGAAATGACCGATAATTGTGTTAAATAGTTAGTTTGTTAGTTGGAAGGAATACTCGGGTTCACAATTTCTTTTCCAGCGGCCTTGAGTCTTATTACACCGTTACCAATGGAATGATTTTCAAATGCATTCAAGACTCTTTCATGCTCATTTGGAATGGTGGAATGCAGGCGGACTTGCGATACCTGAAATACAAATATCCTAGTTTTGAACTTTGGGTCAATGGACATTCTCTCGGATCATCTCTTGCATGGGCCGCATCTGCGTGGATTGTGAACATTGGATTGTACAAACCAGATGATATGAAAGTTGTTGTAATGGGGTCGATGAGAATTTCTGATTACAATTTTGCAGCTTGGCATACACAGACGGTGAATAATCTAAAAAGCAATCTACAACTCTATTGATAACTTTTCAGTTCTCCTACAATTTCCACATTCTCCATCGATCTGATCCCGTCGCCCACACTCCCACATTTGTTGCTTCCACTAACACAACGTTGTTTTATCCCAAAACTGAAGTTTGGTAAGTTTGAATTTTCTTTCATAAACTATCATTCGGTTTACAGGTACAACAATTACATGAACCAAGGAGACCCATACCAAGTGTGTCAAGAAGCTGATGGACCGTTCTGTAGTGGCAGTGTTGACCCGAAAGCTACACAGTATATCGATCATTTGTACTATTTTAACATTGACTTGCCAGGATGGGGGCACGCGGGATGTCCCATGAATATCAGTGCTTATGCACAACCTTGAATTTAAAATTTTCAATAAAGCATATTTATATAGTTGATCATGTTTAAGCTTGCGGCACCGTAGCTCAGCTGGTTGCAGCGCGGTACCTCCAGCTTTGAGTCCGCAAGTTGGGACACGCTGGATGTCCCATGAACATCAGTGCTTATGCACAACCTTGAATCTCTTGTTTAACTTGAGAATAAATTCTGAATATTTTCAATACATTTTCATTCATGTTTAACTATTCTGATTGTATGTTTCTATTCTAACTTACAACAAACGGTTAGCTTCTATAGGTCACATGCAGAGTCTTGGAAATCCTAAAATTTATGCCAATTTGGGAATTAAAGGAAGTACATCTCAATTCATTCATTTTTCCCTACCAGGATACATCGATATGAAGAGGGGAACAGAAATAGAAAAGGGAAAAAATGAAATTGGGAATAAATTGTGTTTCTGTATACAACACAATGTTTCCAATATTTTCGATTAATACTTTCTTTCTGGAGGGCGGGGGGCAACAGGAAAAATGAAAAAAAAGAATAAATGAATTGATTTTGCGAAAACCTGTCAAAGATGCCACACAATTATCTGATTCTCTGACCACACATGCGTGACTTGTGGTAGGATTTGTACTTTGGTGTTCATTATCCCAAATGTATCTGAAAAACGATAAAACTATTTTGAAACCATGCCAATATAAGCTGTTTTTTGAACATACTAAAAAATCACTAACACTTTGGGCAAAGAGTGCGTTGGTGGTGTTGCCTGTCTCCCTTTAAATAACGTAGAATATCAGGAGCAGTGAGTTCGTCTTGATCTATAACAACATATTTGGCTTGATACAATTTGGATTCTGGGTTGAACGGTTCCGTCGTCTCCCTTACTTTCATGAACACCGATTTAAAAACAGGAGAATGGGTGAGAAAGTTTTCAAGTGTTTTCATATCCGCGAATATCCAGGACAGTTTTATACAGATACTAACACATAATGATAGGTTCTGGAGTTGCGGAATGAAAGGAACAAAAAACGGGAGTCTCCCGGTAAAGGGTCTCAACAAGTATTTCATGTTTTCCGATTGCCAATAATACTCCACAGAGTTTCCGAAGAAATCAAGGAAATAATTATAAATACTTTTGATTACAGATTCTTTGTCACATGGGTAAAATGATGCTATATAATAATTGCATTGATCGGATGATGTGAAATAAAAAAAACTTTAATGATCCGTTCATAACTCATTGTGACTCACCCAAAGTCAATGCTCTTCCCACATACGTTCAACTGAAAATTAAAATACCCATCCTCCTCGTGTTTCATGATTCTCATGATCGTGTCCCATCTTCGGTCATAGTTAATATGAACATACGGCTGATCAGTGTCTAAACAGTCATACGTAATGGAACTGATCCTTTTGAACCTATTCCTTTTGGAAGTGTATATTGATTTCTTCATATTCTTCGAGGCGAAGGAAAGAAGAAAAATATCGGAGCATTCCATGTTACAGAGTATCTCATCTTGGACCAAATACGGATATTTGGATATAATCATTCTTGGTTGTTCTGAAAATATTGAAGAAATTGTAGAAGAGAAAAAAATGGTCCGAAAAAAGTAACCGTTTTCAGTTAACAGGAGATTATGATAAAAGTCGAGAAATTTGAATCAGATGGATAACTAATTTTTATCAGATAAAACTGCCTGGATTTGAAAATGCCCGTATAAAACGGCTCCAGACATTTCGCAAGCGGACATTTCGAAAGTGTGGTGGATGAATTTCAGACTACAGAAACTATTTTAGGGGTTTCAAACATGCTTTTTCTGATAGAACACAATTTGAAAGCTGAAAAAATCATCAAAACATACTTTTGAAAAAATTAAATTTTGATTTTTTTTCGAATTTCAGAATATGTTCTATCGGAAAAGCACATTTGAAAACCCTGAAATAGTTTTTGTAGTCTGAAATTCATCCATTCGCCCGTATTACCACATTTTCGAAATGTCCGCTTGCGAAATGTCCCGGAGCCTAGAAAACTATCCGTTAGGAAAAGAGATCAGTATTGGAAGAGGGTCTCCCGACGTGACAAATGACACAGTCAGATACGATATGGGTCGGGATGCCTCCTGACTGCGGTGAACAAGGTGACATCCGTTCGTCTACACCCCTTTTTGTTTCCCACACAATTATTCTCTTAGTGATCGACAGCCAGTTGAATGTTAATTAATTGGTGGAAGATTTATTCTTTGTGTTAGTGATGTCTCAGGGAGGATTAAATGCACTAATAATGTTATTCACTCCCGGGAAGGTCTGGCTTTGAGATCTAGGAGCGTGCTGGAAAAATGGATCTCTTCTGGAATCGGAAGCTCGTAAAAAATCGGAGGTCCAGAATTAATCAAAGGCCCATAATTTTTCAAATTCTGAAGTTGAAAATCCGATCCGATGAAATATTCTACGGATATTCAAACTGTTCGTAAACAAGACTAGCAATGCGGTCTCAAAGTTCAAATTGCTGCAGTACTCCGATTTTCATGGGCTTTCGATTTCCGAAGAAAGCCAAGAAATTAACCGAGTAATGATAATCTGAATTTCTCCCAAATGCTCACCTTTCTAACGATCTCGTATTTTTATGCCTGATTTTTTGGATACTCCAAATGCAACATGAACCCAAACTTGTATTGTGTATTGTGCTAAAAAGTTGAATACTCCAAAAGGATGATTACGTTCCATATCAAAAGTTTCTATTGAATACATTCAGGTACCCTTAAATTGTAGTATTCAATGAAAATTCTATAAAAAGGAATATCTCCAACTCATTGACCTTCAGTCCTTTTGGAAGTGAACTCCAGATATGATTCAAAATTTTGCAAAGTTCTTCCTAGAAACTGAATTTTGGATTCTGGCCTTTTCAGAAATTATTATACTCTTTGGATCTTTTTTGAAAAAATAAAATTAGAGGCCTCGATTTTTCATTAGTCAATTGTATGGTTTCAAAATGAGTTCTGAATGCGTTCTAGACTTCTTCATATGTTCCCAACGGTCACCGATTTTTCGAATGTCTGAATATTTTTACTACGCACCTCCTCCAAGCGTGAAAAACAAAAAACAATATGCAAATTTGTGTTTTCAGTGAACACCTCTATTCTACTACACCTACCCAAAAATAAATCATGTTCTTTTGGTCTTGTTTTGACACTTTTTTTGGTTCTTATCATCTTTGACACCAGACAGTCTAAAATTGACTCATCAGACGCCGCCTCTTAAAACCCTTCAAGATGTACTCCATTATCAAATCACTTTTAATCATTCTATCAATTATGGTTTTGATATTACTTCTACTTGGCTTGCTGCCAAATTTCTTTTATTTCGTCCATGCTCAGAACTGCTCGAATTGCGTTGAATCTGGGAATATGTATGTGTCAAACTTTTGGGTTTCTATGAATCTCTAGAAATTTCAGATGGTGCGTTGAATCTGCTCAATGCAACGACACATTTCCCTCATGCCAAACTCAGATTTCAGTGAGATTTCAGATTTGAGTGAAATTGTTCTGAAAAAAAATGTTTTCAGCTGCAACTAAATTGTCCAACCCTTCCAAATACAAAATATGCGTATGATGATAGTTTTATGAGAACCCAACAGTTGGTTCTTGCCTCCGCATCACACTGTGATAATCCACAACGTTGTTTTGAGTGGGTTATTTGGGATTTGTGTACGGTATAAAGCTCAATTATCGGTTCTTTCAAAAGATATCGAAAACTTCACACTGTCAACTTTGAGCCTATTTATCTTATTTCTTGTTGAAAATACCAAAAAGTGGTCAACTGATGATTTATTTATCATAATATCAGCACTATTTCATCAGTTGACAGATTTTTGATATCTCTCATAAAAACCAAGATAATTGAGTTCAAAGTGCATATAAAGAGTGGGCTTCTACTGGAGATAATATGGAATTTTTCTGTGCGTTCAAAGGTACACCGTACCATCACAATAGCTGCTCTAAAAATCTTATTAGTTATAGAACTTATAGGCAACATTTTGAAACAGTTAAAACTTGTACTAGATGTTCTTGAACAATACGTTTAAAATATGATTTTCAAATTTGAACACTTTCGAGCTTGCAAGAATCTTGATCAATCTTTGCCGCAAGCTCCCAAATCTGGGATTTCTGTGCCCAGATAGCAGTCCAAAGTGACTGTCAGATTCTCAACGTTTCCAATTTGCCCACTCGAAACAAGTTTGCCCGTAGACCCCTAAAACGACGAGACCCGCAAAAAATTTGCGCTTCAAAAAACAAATTTTTTAAAAACCTCGTAAAATGGTACATTTGCGGGTCTCGACGCGATAAAGGGTACAGTCGCACTGATTGCAACTGTGTAAATTAGGAATCGTGGGAATTCGGACGTCCCTTTGAACTACTTTCTGAGCCCAGAAATCCCCGCATTGGGACTTTTGGACGCCACAGTAGTTCAAGATTTCTTTTGCACCCTAACAATCTGTGACTAGATGTTAAAATTAAGTTCTTAAAATTAGAATTATCGTATTTCCTTCCTAAAAAAATTCCTGGCAAATCCTCAAACCTCATTTTTATCAATTTTCCGAAAATTTTTTACCGTAAACAAGAGATTATGTCTTAAAAATTTTGACATGTCGTAGACAGACTTTAACGTTATCAGTGCAACTTTACAGTTGTTGACTTTATAAAAACGTCCGAATTCTTTTACACGTTTACCTGGAATGATCAAATATCTCGTTCCTACAATACTGAAATGTAGTTCGGCGCAGAACAAAAAATCTTACTAGAGACCTCCTTGGGATACTGGAATATGGTTTTAAAATGTTGATTTTCTCGAATGGCAGCTAAGAAAAATAAGTTTAAACTTTCAGCAGCCAAATCCCAACTATCAAAGTGCTAAGCGTCCGGACTGTCAATTGCTCCGCGAACGCTGAAGGTTTCGAAAGATCTAGAACTCAAAAAAGATTTTGAAAAGTTTCAGAAGTCACTTGTATGGGATACACAGCATACGATGTCAGCCGAAAGATTATAATCATGTCTTTCCGAGGATCGAAAGGTCCTTATCAAAATCAGCAAATGGCAGATGGAATGGCCTCTGGGTGAGATTAAAAGAAGTTTCCGTCTTCATCTGCGAAATTTTGTTTTCAGAGGTCTCTTAAATTATTTTGGACACTCTGGAAAAATATTCAAAATAGGTTACGACTACTTTCAATTGCTTTGGAACGGAGGAATGCAGCAGGATCTTAGGAGTTTGAAGTATAAATATCCAGGATTTCAATTATGGATCAATGGACATTCTCTCGGAGGAATGCTTTCATGGGTTGCATCTTCGTATCTTGTCACTAGTGGTTTATATAAACCAGAAGATATCAAAGTTGTGGCATTTGGGAGTCCGAGACTTGGAGACTATGATTTTTCACTTTGGTACACTCAAACGGTATCTTTCAGAACCAGAATAAAATTCTACAAATTAATAATTCCAGTTCCCCTACTCATACCACATCATCCATCGTTTGGATCTGATTCCAAGAGTCCCAGTGATCGATCCACATACAAATACAACAGTTTTGTTTCACCCGAGAACCGAAGTTTGGTACAATAACTACATGAAAATCGATGATCCATATCAAATTTGTGAAGAAGCCGATGGAAATTACTGTAGTGCGGCTGTGACAGAAGGATTGACCATGACAGATCATGGATACTATTTCAATGTGAATATGCCGGCGTGGGGAAGAGATGGATGTCCGCAGAATATCAGCGAATATGCACAACTTTGAGTTTCAACTGATTACTATGTACATTATGAATTTGTTCTTATTTTTATAGAAAAAATGTATTTCAAAAAATATTGAGAAAGAATTTCCTAGCCCCATTCAACACCTTTCAATGTTTTGAAATTTATCGCTGACATTTTTTTCTCATAAAAATTAATTCAATGATTTTATTGTTACAACGAACTACTTCTTTTGAAGGTGGGCGACATGAAAATAATTGTTTCTCAACACTTTTTTCATAGAAGCCCCTCGAGGAGTGGAACTCAAACGCTGGAGGTGCTGCGCCGCTAAAAACAAATCCAGGATACTGGAAATTCAATTTTTGTCCTAAACTTTTATTTTGTATTTTTTTTGTATGAAATTTGGCAAAAATCTGTCAAACCTTTTCAGAAACATCTGGGAAAATTTAGGCTCCATACTGGTGCTCAAAAAATAGTTATGCTCGAAAACCACAAACTGAACCTTTTGACCGGTACTGTGAATCTCCTGTCGTTTCAGAGGGCTCATCCAAGCTTAAAATCGAAAAACTTGTTGTTTCTTCATTTTGACCTAAAACATTCAAGCAGCAAATGTTTGCACTACTGTCCTATAAAAAACACCACGCTATCAGATTTTTTAACTTTGCAAACAAACTGAGTCATTAAAATTATGTTGCAATTTTTGACTTTACCAAACAAAATGTATCTGATTTTCGCAGTGTTTTCGCTTCTTATTTTCCAAGTTTTTGCTCAAAATTGCACAACATGTGTTAGCTCTGGAAATGTGTAAGTTCATGATTTTTTTTTCAACTATTGAACTTGTGTGTTCAGTTGGTGTGTGGAATCTTCCGAATGCAAATCGAATTTCTCGTCTTGCCAAACTCAAATTTCGGTATTTAGCTGTAATTTTAATTAAAGAAGCAAGTTATCCATTATTTCTAGCTGAAACTAAACTGTCCGACTCTGATTGATCCTAAATATGCATACGATGATCATTTCATGAGAACACAACAACTAACTTTGGCTTCTGCTTCTCATGGAGATCAAATACAAAAATGTTTCGAGTGAGTTTCTAAACAGCAAAGTTTACAAAATTATTCTGAATTCCAGCAATCAAATTCCCACAATGAAGTTCTTCAATATCCGTATCGTAAACTGCTCTTCAGATGCTTCAGGTTTCCGTTCCTATACGACTTGTCATTCAAAATGTTCTATATTCCAGATGTGACTTGCACAGGATACACAGCTTATGATATTTCTCAAAAAGTTATTGTTATTTCCTTCAAGGGAGTTGATGGAGATGATCAGCTCCAACAGCTGTATGATGGATATGATAATTTGTGGGTTCAAGGAGTTATATTAAGTTTATACTTGTGAACCGGGCCCTGCTATAGTTTCTTTTAGAATCAATATTTTCAGACCATTTAAATTTTTTCCGATAAAACTCAACAAGTGCTACAAATTGATACGATTTTGAAAACTGTATCTTGTTTATGAACAAAGTTACAAGCCAAAAAGGGAACATGCCTACTTTTTTCGACCCGTTACTTTGTTCATATACAAGATACAATTTTCCAAATAGTATTATTTTGTAGCATTCGTCGAGTTCTATTAGATTTAATTTGGTCAAGAAACATTGATTCTAAAAGAAAATATGGCAGGGCCCTGTTTACAAGATCGGTTCGATGAATAACTTTCAGAGGTCTGCAATCATATTTCGGTGTGAATGGAAAAATCTTCAAAATCATTTACAACTGGTTTATGTTACTTTGGAATGGGGGAATAGAAAAGGACCTTCGAAGTTTGAAGTATAAATATCCAGGATGTGATTTGTGGATCAATGGACACTCTCTCGGAGGAGAACTGGCATGGACTGCGGCATCTCTAGTTGCTACTTCTGGATTATACAAACCTGAAAATATAAAAGTCGTCACAATGGCCACTCCCCGCATGTTTGACTACGACTTTGCAATTTGGTTTTCGGCTACAGGTTTCCAAATTCTAAGTCCTTAGAAATGGTATTTCAGTTCCCCTACTCCTATCACATCATTCATCGGAATGACACCATCCCAAGGAGCAACAAAATTGATCCACATACAAATTCAACGGTTATGTTCCATCCCAGAACTCAAGTATGGTACAATAACTACATGAATGAAACGGATCCATATGAAATTTGCGAGGAAGCTGACGGAGATTACTGTAGTGCAGTTGAACAGAAGGATTGAACATATGGGAACATGTTTATTATTTCAATGTGAATTTACCAGAATGGGGAAGAGATGGATGTCCAAAGGATCGAAGTGTTTATGCTCAACCATAAAATATTTTTTTGTTTATTAAAAAATACATATTTTTCTTATCAGTTTGTCTTTTATATTGACCATGAGTCAATTATGCACTCTTTTTAGCAACATTTTTTTTGATCGGTCAAAAATGTTTCTAGAAAATTTTCTTGCTATTTTTATTTTGAGCTCATTAACTGGGGCATCCGCAGATAACTGCTCGAGTTGTGTGAGCTCTGGAAACATGTGAGATTCATTCAACAAGATTTTTTAAAAGATCGAAAATTTTCAGCTGGTGTGTGGAGTCCTCTCAATGTAATACTACGTTTTCTTCTTGTCAAACTCAGATTACTGTAAGTATGAAGCTCTATTTTTCTACTCTTTGAAACTTATAGGAATATCACAAACTCCAAAGAATCCAAGAATGCGAAGTATTCGATGATTCTGAAATTCAAAAACTTTATTAAGTAGATTTTCCAAAGTAAAAGTATCAGAGAACTCAAAAAAAATTTCCCAGAAGTTATTTAGATATTACCCATATATTTTTTAAAGATTCTGAATTTTCGTAAATACATTTTGTTTTTGAAAAATCTGAATGTGATGAAAATGCTCGACTTTTGAAATTATCGGGTTTTTAAAAACATTTTTTAAATTTTCTTTATTCTGGACAATCGGAAAATTCCAGAAACTTGGGTTACGGTACTTTTTCGGGCCCCTCTTCTCCCTCTTTTTTAACAAATCCCAATGGAAATCCGGTCATCTGAACACACAAGAAAATTAGGTTATTGTAATTGGTTGGGTCCCTATAGCTAAATTTAGTATAAATTTAGAATACCAGTAAAACTGAATTTATTTTCAGGTCCAACTAAATTGTCCAGCTCTTCCTAAATATGCCTACGATGATAGCTTCATGAGAACCCAACAGCTAACTTTTGCTTCTGCTTCTCATGGAGATCAGATACAAAAATTTTTCGGGTGAGTTTTAAACATTTTTTGAGATCAAAAGTTAACTTCTTTACAAACAATTTTATTGGGTTGTGTTGCAATTCGCATCATTGTTGCAATTCGCATCATTTGATTGAGTTCAAAGAATGAATTTTCTTGAAAATTGTCGATCAAAAATCTCTCTCGAATTTTTTTTCAGAAATCAAATTCCCACGATGAAACTTTTCAAACTTCGAGCCGTTACTTGTTCGGAGGGAAATGCGAGTATGTGGTACGAATTTAAATTCTGAAAATCAGGAGTTCGTTCAGATATCATGTCGTGGGTTCACCGCTTATGACGTCACCCAAAAAGTGATCGTTCTCTCGTTCAGAGGGTCCAGTGGAACTGATCAGAGTGAACAATTGAATAATGGATTTATTAATGAGTTTGGAAAATTCGAAAGAAATAGTTGCATTGTTCTCTTTCAGAGGAATCCAGTGGTATCCTGATATCAATGGTAATATCTTCAAAGTAATCTACGATTCTTTTATGTTTCTTTGAAATGGAGGAATACAACAGGATCTTAGAAGTTTGAAGTATAAATATCCTGGATTTGAATTATGGATCAATGGACATTCACTCGGAGGAATGCTTTCGTGAGTTGCATCTTCTTATCTCGTAACCACTGGTTTGTACAAAGCAGAAGATATTAAAGTTGTGACATTTGGAAGTCCGAGACTTGGTGACTATGATTTTGCAGTTTGGTATACAAATACAGTAAGTGACAGGGACGCTTTGCTACTAACAATCTTGTTTTCAGTTCCTTTATTCCTTTCACATCATTCACCGAGCCGACTTTTTTGCGAGACAGCTCAGAATCGATCCTCACACCAACACTACAGTACTCTACCATCCGCGCACACAAATTTGGTGGGTCCACAGAACATTTACCGTTGAGCCTGTAAAAAAACCCCACAAGTTTGAGCTCAATTATCTCAACTTCTATGCAAGATATCAAAAATGTGTCAACTGACAAAACACTTCCGATATTAGGCTAAGCAATTTATCAGTTGACACAATTTTGATATCTTGTATAATAGCAAAGAAAAATTAGCTAAGAATTAAGTATAACCAGATAACATTTTTAGGTATAACAACTACATGAACGAAACCGATCAATATGAAATTTGCGAGCAAGCGGATGGAAATTATTGTAGTGACACTGTACAAGAAGGCTTATCAATGTGGGACCACATTTATTATTTCAATGTGAATATGCCTGCATGGGGAAGAGATGGATGTCCCAAGGATAGAAGTTCGTATGCTCAACAGTGAAGAACTCAATAATTATGAACGCTGAAAATATATTTAACGAATAATTTTATTGTTTATTGTTGACAATCACATAAAGATTCGGGCTTCTTCCGCCCACTTTTCTCAGGCCTTGAAAGGTCAGCTTTTAGGTCAACAGTTAAAAAAAGGTTTCACGTAAAAAAACGAAACTAGGTCACGGTGTCACGAACGGCCGCGTCGCCACGCTTTCCAGCTCATTTTGTTGACTCCGTGCGAGCTGAAATGTGTGAGCTCTCTCGGAGGACTCGTTCTCTAATTTTCTCCAAATTTTTAATTGTTAACTTATCTCTTCAGAGTTTACTGTTGTCCATGATATCTTTTATATTAATAGCGGTTTAAATTCACACTAATTTCTCCTTTTCTGATTTTTTTCAACTTGAATATTCAGTTTTTATCTCTTCCGACGGCATTCCGTACGGCAAAGCCTTTGTAACTGTTGTCTCTGTAGTCATTTTCATCTAAAAACCTCAATTCCTTTCCTTGATTTTTTTAATAAAGCAATTTTCCACTTCGAAGTTTTCTGTAAATCTGCCCTTCTGCGCTTACAGTAGGAGAGTTTCGCTCACTATGGGCTTTGGAAGAGACGCAGAGTTTTTCCAGATCTTCGCACACATTTCACTTTTTTTCTCATAATTTTCAATCATTTTCATGAATATACCTATTTTCTCACTCTATATTTTTCTCAATTGATTAATTTAGGTTTTCTAACGTTTCTTATTTACAGTGAGTGATGCAACATCAGTTAAAGGCGTGCGGAGACGTGAAAACGTCTTCACGGGCTCAACAAAATCATCGGCGATCAACCGCTGCTTCGGCGAAGAGGTCTGTTGGAGCGGGAAACTCTTTTCTCGCGACAGATGTGACCAATCTCGAGATGAACAGTAACTTTATGACGAGAAAGTTGAAGAAAAACGGGAACGGAGTGATTGGCTCGCCACTTTCTAATGGATACTTTGGAGCACAGCTTACTGCCAATAGCTTCAATTACACCCCACAAGCCAATCCCTACAGCAATCTCGATTTCCAAATGGCAATGGGTTCCGGGGATGTACCGTCTTTGATGGGAATGCCTGTTCATAAGCCTTCAATGATGCTTCAGAGCGACCCATCCATGGATTTGACACAGTTCACTGGTATTTATTACTTTCAACTGTTGAAGCGCTAAATTTAACATTTCAGAAGAGTTGCAAGCGATTCAGAACATGCCGTTTCAACCGATTTCTTCTTCTCAAGCTGCGCTTCAAGCGTTTCTTGCTGCGAACGAAGCGGCTTCGATTGGTTCATACGGATTTTCGAAGTCTCAAATGCTCCCGTCTAACAGTATGCGCGTTTCCGGAGCAAGGAAAAATCGAATTGTCGAGGTTAAAAATCAAAACGATCGCCTTTTCCTCGTTCTTAGCGATCCGCAAGCGTCCGTTTCGACTCGCCCAACTTTGGTTCCATTGACTCGGCCTCTTCAAAGTGTTGCTCAAAGCTGTTTGGACTTGACCAAGAAGCAGCCATTCTCAACCGAACCACTCTATTCTCGCAAAGTTTTCATCGGCGGTCTTCCAATTGATGTACCTGATGGTTTATTGCGAATATGTGATTCATTTGAAATCAAACGTATTTTCAGAGGAAGTTTATGTAACTTTTGGCTCTTTCGGAAAAGTACTGATTGACTGGCCACGCCGCCCTGAACACAATGGCAGAGCGAGTGACATGTACGAATCGGAAATGGGACGGCGTAACTGTGAGTACAAGAAACCGAGACTTGTAAAACCTTCATTTTCAGTGCGTTCGGTTTCTGGATACGTTTTCCTCGTTTTCACACACGAGGATTCGGTTCAAGACCTTGTTAACGCTTGCGAGTTCTATGACGGAAAGTGAGTGATGTTGAAAGAATTCACAGACAAAAAGTTGAACACTTTTTTAGGTACTATCTCCAACTCTCGTCACCAACAATGCAAGACAAAGCAGTTCAGGTCCGCCCATGGAGACTTTCGGATATAGATTACTTCTCTGAAGAAAAAGTCACCGTCGATCCACGGCGCACCGTCTTCATCGGTGGTGTTCCTCGTCCCACTCGCGCTTGTGATTTAGCTCGCAGCCTTCAGGACTACTACGGAAAAGTGTCTTATGTCGGAATCGATATAGACCCAGAGCTGAAGTACCCAAAGGGAGCTGCACGTGTCACTTTCGCCACTGCACAGTCGTTCGTTCGTGCTATCTCTGGCAGATTCGTCCAAGTGACTCATGCGGAGACTAACAAACGCGTTGAAATCAAGCCATATGTGATGGAAGATCAGTACTGCGACGAGTGCGAAGGAGATTTGTGCAAGCACAACTACGCTCCGTACTACTGTGGTGACTCGTCTTGTCTTCAATATTACTGCGAAGGATGTTGGGATCGGATGCATTATGAGATGGGTCAATCTCGCGCGGATCATCGTCCGATGGTTCGCACCGGAGATCAGACCAGAGTATGAAAAGAAAGTCATTCATATAAATAAGCTTTGTCGCTTTCAGATTCTTCCACGTCCACCACATCATCCGGCTGCTCATCACAGTCATCAACGTCCACAGTATTTGCTCCATCAAGATCAGCTCGACAACCATCACTCGTCCCGCGGCAACTCGTCGGTCATCTCGAGAATCGTCAATCGCAATTCGGCTACTATGTTGGATCATGTTCCCGGAAAGCCGTTTTCTGCAATCTCAGCCTCTTACGGATATTGAAATGTCGCTCACTCAAATTTTAAAATTCAAAACGCTGTGTAATTTATTCTTCTTCGTTTTATCTGCACCCCACCCCACACCTCAATTTTTGTGATTCTAGCTTTGGAAATTTCCGAAAATTCTGCCCAATTTTGTCTCTCTTCCTTCACAAGAAGCAGTACTATATTTTCGTGTGAATCTGAGCAATCAAAATTATTTATTTAGTCCCCCCCACACACATTATGTAAAATTAATTCTTGTCTCATCTGAAGTCCTTATGACTCCGTAGACACTATAGCATGTCTGAATTCCCCCCCCCCCCCCCCTAATAGTTTTCCATGAACCAAAGGTTTCCCCCACTCTGTCTTTGTTTTTATGTATATCCATTGCACTCTTGTTCAATTTTGTGTGCGGCTCAGTCTCATGAGCATGAGCCTCGTAGATTTATTTTTGAATTTTATTAAGTGTTTCCTTCCCCCCAAAAAGTACTCGTTTAGAGAATTAATTTAAATAGCTTGCATTTAATTGACCCGTTAAATTAATATAATTAATTGCCCCTATTCCCTCCTCTCCGCTTTTCTGAATTTTGTTGGTTTCTAATGTTTTTTTTTCGGTTCCAAAGTTTTTAAACGCACCGTCACTGATCCCAAAACGGGAAACAGTTTGTCACATAAAAAAATTTTCACCGGAAAAAACTTTTGTTTAGTTTGTCGTATTCTCTAGTTTCAGGTGTCACATTATGTTCTTCTCCACCTGTCACTCTCCTTATCATGCTACAGGTCCCGGAATGCACGGGCCTCTTTTTTTCTTTTTTTTAGTTAAGTACTGATAAGCCCAAAACTCTTTGCGATAGAACAGTAGATGTAAGCCAAGTACCGTAACCGGATATAACACAAAAATAAATCATTTAAGCTACCTATAAACTGTCCATCAGTGCCTGGTCTACAGTATGCTTATTCAGATGAATTTGTTAGATATTCAGTTCTTCCTGTGATTGCTGCCGGGCAGACACGCGAACCACAAAAGTGTCTCGAGTTCGTTTTCAAAAAAGCTACCGTATCCCCTTTAATACCAACCTTGAGCTCATGGATCTCGCTTCCTGTAACAGATATCAAAAAGTGGTCAACTGACAAAATGTTTTTGATTTTATGATGAACATTTTGTCAGTTGAACTCTTTTTTATACCTTTCTCGGAACTGAGATATATAATATATGCGCTCAAAGTTGACGGGTTGGTTGGACTTCTAATAGAATACAGTATGCTTCAAATTTCCTAACTTTTCAGTAATAACCTTCCTACAATGAAAGTATACAAACATAGAGAAGCCAATTGCTCATTTTTGTTTTCAGGTAAAATCTTTTTTTTCGGAATATGGTATTTGCTCAAATAGAATCCCACCCTGAACTTTGAGCTCAATTATCTCGGTTATTGTGAAAGATATTAAACATATGTCAACTGATAAAATATTCATCATAATATCACCTATATTTTATCAATTGACAAATTTCTGATATCTCTCGTAAGAACCGAGATAGTTAAGCTCAAATCGTACGTACAGAGTGGGCCGAGCAAATCCAGTACCCGCAAGTTTTAGATGTAACATGCGCCGGATTCACTGGTTACGACACTACAAGAAAACTGATTGTTCTCTCAATTCGTGGATCACATGGAGTTCATCAGTATTATGATTTGTGGAAAGTCGGAAATGAAAAGTAACAATTCAAAATTGGGAATTCATATAATATAGACTTCCAGCGGAACAGTACCTTTTCTGGGCGTTGGAAGAGTCACGAAGGTGTTTCATGATAATTTCGAGTCGCTTTGGTACGGTGGATTAGGAGAGGATACACAGGTGGATCGCGAGGAACGTTATATGGGATCGCGCGGTGCCGTATATGCTCGCAATACGAAACATATAGGGGCGCATCGTGCGAGCATATAGGATTCACGCGCCGACTAAAGCATACAGTACCGGTCAAAAGGTTGTAAACGCAAGGTTTTTTGAGCATAACTACTTATTGAGAGCAGATATCGAGCCAAAATTTTCACCAGATATTTCTGTAAAGGTTTGCCAAATCGTGGCCAAGTTTCATACAAAAATTTGAAAAAATAACGTTTTTTAGAGAAAAAATTGAATTTTCGAAAAAAAAATCAAATTTTGACCTAAATTTTTCAAAAAAGCATAATTTCCGAAAACCACTTTTATTCAACACAAAACATATAAAAAATAACAAATTGAATCTAATATTTTGTTGCAAAGCCACGAGAGTCAATGACAGCCTGACATCTGCGCTGCATGGAGTCGAGCAAATTGTCGATTACTGTCTGTGGGATCTTCTTCCATTCCTCTTCCAGTTGTTGGTACTTTTCGTCCACATTTTTGGCTTTTTTCCCTGCCAATCTTCTCTCCAGCTCATCCCATAGATTCTCGATCGGATTGAGGTCCGGGGAGTGGCTTGGCCAATCCATAACGCGAACTCTGCGGCTGGAGAACCAATCCTAAAATCGAAAATATTTTGAGACATCAGAATCTTTTGTACCTTGACGAATTTGGAAGTGTGTTTCGGATCGTTATCCTGTTGGAAAACGATCCCACGACCCATGGCTTTGTAATGTGGCAGCATTTTGGATTCTAGGATATCCTTGTAGACGTAGCGATCCATGATAGTTGTGATGCGATGAATCGGTCCGATGCCTTTTCCGGAAAAGACACCCCAGACCATACAGCTGCCTCCACCGTGCTTGACGGTTGGTAATTGGTATCTGGGATCATACCGAGAGCCAACTGGACGCCGCATCCATTGAATCCCGTCGCTTCCGAAAAGCATGAACTTGCTTTCGTCCAACCACAAAACCTGGTTCCAATCTTGACGAGTCCAATTGAGGTGTTGCTTCGCCCAGGCAACTCTGGCTTTTCTGTTCTTCTCCGAAATGAACGGCTTCTTAACTGGACGTCTTCCCATGATTCCAGCTGCTCTCAAACGACGTTTGACGGTCGAGGTCGATGGGGAAACCGGACTAATCAAAAATACCTCCCGTCCAATCGCAGGCGCAGTCAATCTTGGATTGCTTCTGGAGACGCGGGCGTGTTGATATCATCCAGATGAGAAGTGACACGTGGGCGTCCGATATGATACTTTACTGGTTTACATCCGTGGCTCTTCCAGCGCTTCAGAAATCTAGAAATGCATGGTTTTCCTACGTCAAACTGAGAAGCTAGATCTCCAAAAGATGCTCCATTTTGGTGTCCCCGAAAAATGGCTTTTTGCTCCTCAATGGTCAAGTTACGCTTTTTCCCAGCTCTTGGCATACCTGAAAACTAAAAGCTACTAAAAAAACATTGAAAACATTGATAAATTTTGAAAAAAAATAGGTCTGAAAAAAAGGGCGAAAACCCCGATTTTTTCGAAAAACTGAAAAATCTGCAGAATCGCGTCAGCGTGTTTGCGTACAACTCGCTGACCGTAGTCATACCTTTTGACTTGCCCCTGTAGTTACCAGAAAAAAAATCACGGAATTTGGTTGGGTATTCGTTGAGTTATGCTCGAAAAACCCTGCGTTTACAACCTTTTGACCGGTACTGTATAAGATCCACGCCGCCGCGCAGCAATTCCTCCCCTCCCCCAGGTCCTAATATTCTCTGTGAACTGAAAATAGTGTTTACCATTAAAAATTTATTGAAAATTAATAAAAAGGACAAAAAAAAAATGAAGTGAAAAGAACATAAAAAAAAGAAAAAAGAAAAAAAATTAACATGTTTGTCTCCTGGCTCCTTGGACTCGATATTTTCGTCGCATTTCTCCCTCTCTATATCCATTAGACGACAGTCCAATCGAGAAGTTGCTCTTGGTTGTTTTTTTTCTGAAAAACTGAATATATTTTGAAAATTTTTGATAGTTTTACTTATTCACACCGAAAAATTTGTCAAGCCTAGTACTTAGAAAACGAAGCTGCTTTTGCAAATTCGTATACATGATTTATTGAGAGAGCTGAATTTCGTGTGAAGCGATACCTCTAGCAAATCTTGGCACGTTTTTCATCATGTTTCGAAAGCTCCGAAAAACTGGAGTCATAGACACAAGAGTAGAATGCTCCTTACAAGTTCAGTGAAAACAATTTCGCAGGTGTTCTTTTATCGAATAATTTTCGAGCGTTTCAAACACAAAATTCGCTAACCTTTTCGTTTTTCTGTCGGTGCTGTTTCTTTCACTTGTCGTGTGGCCAGTGGAGACGGTGAAGGGTTTAGTTGTCACCGAATTCCGAGCTCCGCTTCTAAAAAAATAAAGTCAGTGAGAAACTGAATGTCATGCATGTTTCTTACCTGTAGCTATCCGCCGAAAACTTTTGGTTTTCAGCTTTAGGTAGAAATGTGAGGCGTTGGAATCCATCGGTGGGCCTAAAATAATTATTTCTTTAGGAATTTATGTATAGAAACCCGAGGAAAACGGCTAGAAACGATGAAAATGAGTTCGCAAGTGAAAAATTTGTAAAGAAAACCTGTGAAATCGTGAAAAATTAAAGAAAATCGAACAAAAATAGGCAAAAATATCTGCAAATTCATCGAAAATCTGAGTGTAGATTTACGGTAAACAACGCGCGATGCGGGATGTCGGAGCGTCGTTGTGTACTTTTTCAGCGGAATTACCAAATTAAATGGGCAAAAAAATCCGATTCATGTGGAAATATAGAATATTGTGATGTAAAATAAGCAGACAGAGCATAAGGGATTTTATGGTAACATAAAATCCGGATTTTGACAGGTTTTTTTGGAGTAAACGTCGCAACACAGCCTGCAGAAAATGTTGAACTTTTCAAAGACAAAATTCCCATCAAGTTTAATGGAATTCCAAGCCTAAAATCCAGCACCTGTATATGTTTTCCGATCTGTCTTGGTTAACTACTTTTCACCGATAACACTATTTTTCGATAGTCAACAGTCATAAATACAATTCTTTGAGAACCAAAAAATTTATCCTGAGAATATCAAGAGAAGAGTTTCAAGCTATTATTTCTGCAAAAAACATTTACATGTTCTGTAAATGCTATCAGGTTTCCGTGAAGACACATAATAGAATGATCCACCCCTTCCCCTTTAACTTTCAGCTAATTTATCTGGGTTCCTGTGAAAGATATCAAAAAGTTGTTAACTGACAGCATGTTTTTGATATTATAATAAACATTTTGTCAGTTGATCATTTTCTGATATCTTTTACAGGAAATGAGATATATGGGATCGAAGTTTACAGTTCTCGAGCACTCGATTAGAATGTTGAGGGAATATGGAACCTATATGCGAGCACGGACTGGGCATATGCTTTCCCTGCTTACTCGACGCCCACCACCACCGACCAGCAACCACCAACCCATATAGCGGGCATAACGAACGCTATATGCGCGCATTCCCAGTATGGGCCACAATGCGCCCATATAGTGTTCTGCGCGATCCACCTGTGTATGCATAACTTGATAAGGAAATATCCTGATTTTGAAATCTGGGTAAGAAAATGATCGAAATTTAGGAATTCAGAATTTAAGGAGATTTCTGAAAAAAATTAACGAGACACACTGCGTCTCTAACCTTCCAAACTTTAAACAACTGTTTCTCGGCTCCCAGCCGGAATAGGAAAATGATATTTAGACAGATTTCTAGGAAATTTTTAGCTTCACACTTTCAGGTTAATCAAAATAATAAATTTCTGAAATATCGTTTTTTTTCGAAATTGCAAAATTCCTGTTTCTCAAATAACGTTTCTAGACATTCTAGGATATTTTTTCTAAAAATAACAAAACTCAGAATCCCAGGATTCGTTTTTCAGGTCACCGGCTATTCTATGGGAGCATCCTTGGCTCTAATCACTTCTGCCTACATTGCTCAAACCGGAATGAGCAATCCCCAAAACATGAAAGTGGTCCTGTTAGGATGCCCAAGATGTACAGACTATGACTTTGCAATGTGGCACAGTATAAATGTAAGCTGACACTAGTGCAGAGTGCACTTTCTCCATAGAGCGTACTTTGCAGTTTCCCTACTCCTACCATATCATCCACGCACATGATTATGCTCCAAGAGTCCCATTTTTTGATAACATTGATAACATTTCGCTTTATCACCCGAGAACTGAAATTTGGTACAACAACGAAATGCGGGAAGGCGACTCTTTCGTCATTTGCGAGCAAACCGATCAACCATTCTGCAGGTGTGTGTTCGCTTATCATTTTTTTTTGGACAATTTATACAACTTTTCCAGCAGCAAAATACAAAATCTTTCGACTCCAGACCACATGCACTACTTTAACATTGATATTGTAAGATGGTCACTTAGTGGATGTCCAAAGAATCGAGAAGACTTCAAACCGATATTTGGAACACATCAAAGAATTCATATTGAGGATTATGAATTTGAAAACAGTAGCCCAGTTTCTTATCTATTAGCCAGTGTTGTAATTGTAGTTGTTGTCAATTATTTGTGAACAAAAATAAAAAATTTATTGAAGTCAAACGCCTTTGTAGAAGTGGCTCTGGTGGCGCACAATCACCCAGACCGAAAGAAATCCAGAAAGTGAGAAACGATTTCTCGAAAAATCTACTACAATCTAGGGAAACTTAGAAAGTGAGGAAGATTCTAGGAGATCTAGGAGATTCTAGGAAATTCTAGGAAATCTAGGAGATTCTAGGAGAATTCAAAAGACACATTCTCACCTTCAGGACACTCTAGAACCAGCTAAACCATTGACATACCGAAATTCGCTATGAATTCCGGTTCGCCATAGCCGACGGAGCTCCAGATAAGAGTCAAGAATCCAGAAAGTAAAATATGATTTCTCAAAGAATCTACTAAAATCTAGAGAAACATAGATGAAAAAAATTGATCAAAGAAGATTATTTTTCTGTATCTCAAGATCCAGAAGTTTTATAAATAAACACTCACTTTTCAGGCCACCAATAAAAAAGTTTCATTAATATTGACAGTTTATCAGACAGAAAATTTCAAAAAAAATCAATTTGCCGCATTTTCCTTCTCAATATCCTTCAATTTCTTCTTCTTCTCTGCTTTCTTCCTCTCCTGAATCTCCTGCAAAGCTACAACCAACTTATCAGCATCTATCATTCTTCCCGGATATCCAGTATTATTCACAACCACTTGTTGCTGTTGTCTTTTCAATTCCGCTTCTTTTTTCCCCTGCTCCTCTTCTTCTTTTTCTTGACGCTTCTTCTCGGCAGCTCCTTTTCTAGAAATCAAATATTATTACAGTAAACTACCTCAAGACTTCTTTCGACTCACAAAATATCATCCTGTTGCTGTTTCATCTCCCACGGATCCTTCTCCGGTCCATCCCGTCTCGGATTATTATAACAGTTGCTCAAAAGATGCTCCCTCCAATTCTCCTCATTATCCTCCACAGCAATCGTGCATAATGGACACCATTGTGCTCCAGGAGGCGGACGTCGACCTCTACACATTGGATGACTGGCTCCTCTCTTTTGATCTTCCTTCTCGATAGCCAATCCACAATCGTTGCAAGCTTCCATGGTGTCTTGAAGGAATTCGCAACGATATATTAGATGATCAGTTAGTTGGGAAACCTGCACATAAAACTTTTAAACGGGAAACTGTAGTTTGAAAACCTAACCATAGTCACCTTCATACAGTACTTGCAGCTGGTCATCACTTTACAATATCTCGCATAATGCTTCTCCATGCCACCTGGTTTTCCGAGCCCAGCTTCGGTGAGCTGACAGTGGGGGCATCTTCTAGAAAAAAGATTGGGTGGGGGACCAAAAAAAGTAATAAGACGTACCCAACATAAGTTGGCATTTTGTAAGGATCATCTTGAACTGTAGAACCACCAGCTAATGGAGAATCCACTGGGATTGCTTCAGGGACATGTCCGATGGTGGAGAGACGCTGGTTTTTTCGTGTTGCTTTTGGCTATAAATAATTGAAGTACAGGAATCTAAATTGATGTGCCCTAAAAAACCTTCCGGATATTTTCAAAAAATTTATTTCGAACGTTCAAACACCTAAACTGGGCTCAGTGCCTAGTAAAACATTTTAGCACGGCAGCCTAACTTTTTCAAGTTGAGTTTTGTAGGCCACCAACTATTATGGCTTACATTTAGAAATGATCTGATATTCACTTTGTGGGGTTTAAGATCATTTTAGAATGGTGGCCTAACTTTCTCAAGTTGAGCTTTCTAGGTCACCATGCCAAATGGACTAGACATCATCTAGTATTAATTTGGAGACTTTTCTTGTCATTTAAACGCCATGGCCTAGATAAATAGAATTGTTAGGCCACCATGTTAAGATGGCCTAGAAAAATCAACTTGAAAAAGTTAGGACATCGTGCTAAATGGTCTTGAAAATACATCGGGTGCATGTTGGACCAACTCTAGACCATCTACTACTGTGGCCTAGAACAGGTCGCGTTGAGAAAGTTAGGCCACTATTCCTCGCCTGAAACCACACTGACCCCGAAGATGATATTTTTCGTTTATTACTAAACATCAAAAATCTACCGTATCTCGAACAAGGTATATTTGTTTTTGTACTCTGCTACTTGTAACTATTTGTATCGCTTTTTATTTCTTTTTTCAATTTTTATTGCTTATTTTTATTAGGATGCATTCATATAAAACCGATTTTGATCGCTTCACTATCAACAATACCATACCCACACAAACCTTCCTACTCTCCGGTTCCGATGGTATAACCCTTCTCTCCGCGGACCTTGAGCTCGCTCTCGATGCCATTCTCCCATCCCCATTATCATTATTTCCTCGTCTAACACTCTGCCGACTTTCCGATCTTTTTGGTGTCTCTGCTCTCTTCCTCGGCTTCATAGGTGTCATCGGTTTCCAGTCGTCAGTGGGCATCGGATTCTTATCAGTAGTCCATTTGGAGTTCACCCCAAATGCTTTCATCGCTCCATCCTCCATCATTAAATCTGAGTAGGCATTTCGAATGGCATCTGACTTCACTCTCTCCATATCCTTGGCAATTGATTCTACTTGTCTCGTATCTCCTCGAACCACTGCATCACTTCGTTTGTGACTCAGATCGACGAGTTGTTTCTCGGCTTTTGACAAGTCATCACATGCCGATTGACACAAATGAGCCTTGACTGGCTCATCCTTGTCTCGATGCTCCAGTGACATCACTCGGAGATTGTTTCGAAGAGTTCGGACAGATGCCAAAGGATCAACACCAAGGTCAGAGCTTCGCTCATTGTATCCTTGCATTTGGTACTCATTTTTGGGTCTGTGTGAGCGGGGAATTGTTTCAAGAATTTAACAAATCAAAAACTCACAATCCATAATCCCCAATTTCCTTCTTAACTTTCTCCTTTTCTTGATCTACCGGTTTGAATCGCCCGTTCCTCGAACTTGCTCGAATTCCCATTCCAGCAGCATTCCTTCTTTCTTTATATTCATCATATTCCAAATCAAAATTTCGAGAGGAAGATGACATGAAGAACCAAGAACCAAAGAGAGAAAAGAAAAACGTAATAACAAAAAATAGGGAAAACCACAAGACTAAAAAGAAGAAGAAAAGGATCTCGATGTTTCAAAAGCGATGAATAATTAATGCTGCTATTGTCATATGTTGCTATGGGGGTTAGTTGATGAATAATAGATAATTTTGAAAAGAAACATATAAAAATAAAAAGAGCCAGAAGCGTATAAATAAGAGCTGATCAAATCAAGCATCAACTGATTGCATGTAATTTTTGTTGTTTAGATTCCATAGATTGGCCCATTCTGTACATGTATTGAGCTCAATTATCTCGGTTCCTATAAGAGATAGGAAAAAATTGTCAACTAACAA